TTTAAATTGGAAAGGAGAATCACCTAAGATTAATACATTTCAAAGGTTTACACATTTAGACATTTCAAAGATATATTTGCTCAGACCCTACTCCCAGTGGGGCGCATCAGGTTTATTTGGTTTTTGTCTTTCATCTAATAGAAGTAAAAAAATAAAATGAGTTTGAGCAAACATCTAAATTCGTTTATTCAGTTCAAGTTTGAGCACATATTTTATGTTTCCACAATTTTTCTCTTTGGAATATTGCATCAGTTTTCCCTCTTATTTTCTTTACCTAGCTTGTTGGGGTTCCAAACAGACCTAATAGGCATGTTTAGATCCTGGAAATTGCTATGGTAAGAAAAAAATGCTATGGGTAATGAAATATCATTAATGTTTAAAATTGTTAGCATATGCTTAAACTTATAGTCTAGTCTTTATATACATAAAGAAACCATGACGAATATATGACTGAAGTGAGTGCAGTTGACAGAAATGTGACTTCCTATACTTCTTATAATCACCGCCACTTTAGTGACTATGATTATGTTCAATCTTACACTCATGACTATGACCGTATACTCATCGTAACTTTGGTCACATTTTTGTCCATATATTTTATTTAGGTAATATTCAAGGAAAACTCTCCTTACATTTTTCTCATTCAAAATCCCCCCTCTATTTCCACTCCTATTCTCTTTACTAGCACATTCCCGGTTCCCGACTGACCCTTTAAGAATCCAACTAGCAAGAATGGCTACAGAGTTAATATTAAAATAGAAAAAATTAGTAGGGAAAACTGTCAAATAGGTCCTCGAACTTTCATAAAAAAGTCAATTAAGTCCTTCTATAGGAGACTATGTCCGGTCGTCGCGATTTGGGGCGGTTCCCAGTGGAATATTTTGATGAATTTTTTTGAGCATCTTATTCATCAAGTCTAGTTTACTCATAGCAAATTTCAGCTAAAAATTTAATCGGGAGCGCATTCAAATTAATTCGAGAACGCAAAAATGTGCAGTTATCTTCAAGAATTAATTTGAATGTGTTCCCGATTGAATTTTTAGCTGAAATTTGGTATGAGTAAACTAGACTTGGTGAATAAGATGCTCAAAAAATTTCATCAAAAAATTCCACCGGGAACTGCCCCAAATCGCGACGTCCGGACAGAACCTCCTATAGAAGGACTTAATTGACCTTTTTATGAAAGTTCGAGGACCTATTTGACAGTTTTCCCAAATTAGTATAATGTTGCTGTTGTGTATAAGCTGCTAGCAAGAATGGCTACAGAGTTAATATTAAAATAGAAAAAATTAGTATAATGTTGCTGTTGTGTATAAGCTGCTATTTTGCTGATCATATGTTGCCGAATGGGATCCATTTGATGAACCTTCCTTCCTTGCTCTAGCTTATAGTGAATCATCTGGAGCCTCTAACGGAGCAGCAAACAGAAGGCATAAACAACTTGCAGCAATCATCTATTGACACAGAAGATGCTCTTTCCCAAGGACTGGATGCATTGCAGCAATCTCTTGCTGAAACTTTGGCTAAAGGAACTTCAGCAGCCCCTTTATCAGGAGGTAATGTTGCTAACTACATGGGCCAAATGGCTGTGGCCATGGGAAAATTAGGCACTCTTGAAGGTTTCGTTCGCCAGGTAACAACTTTGTAATCTAATCTTTACCAATACTTATGTGATTCATTATTATGTCTAACTGAATGACAACCTGGATATTTTTTGAACTTTATAATGTTTTAACTATGAAAACATTTCATTTTTGGCCTGTAACTTTGGGTTATATGCGATTTTAGTCCCATATACATAAGGAGATGAGCTGGAACAATATTACAAAATACCAGTTTTCTGCGTTTTCCATCAAGTTGATAATTATGCGTTTTCTGCGTTTTCCATCAAGCTGGAACAATATTACAAAATACCAGTTTTCTGCGTTTTCCATCAAGTTGATAAAACTAGATAAAATAACATGAGAAAATTACTGCGGAGTATGTTGGATACTTGGATGATTCAACAACATCCAAGCCTTAGTCCCAAAAAGTTTGGGGTCGGCTAACATGAATTGACACATGAAATCGGAGCTATAAAAGATAAAAAAAGATACGGAAGATAAAAAGATAAGAAAAGATGAAAAAGATAAGATAAAGATAAAAATGATAAGATAAAAGGGATAAAATTATAAGGTAAAAAGGATGAAAAGATGAAGAACGTAAGAAAGATAAAAAATAAAAAGATAAAAAAGATGTGTAATGTTTATTTTCCCGGCAAACACAGGCTTAATATGCTAATTAGATGTCGCCCAAAAAAAGACTGAAGTAGCAGCCCCCCTCCCCCGCCAAAGAGAAAAGTATGGGGACCAATAAAACAATTTCACTTCTCAAAGGTTACACAAATAGACATGCATACCTTAATTAACTGAAAGGTTAATATGTGTGTCATTTGTTTTTGTTGTTAATGAGGATATATGGTTGAACCGTTTTTTAAATTTTATTTCTGTGTGGCATTTATTTAATTTATCAGGCAGATCACTTGAGGCAACAGATATTGCAGCAAATGCACAGGATATTAACAACACGGCAATCGGCACGATCCCTTCTGGTCATACATGACTATTCCTCTCGCCTCCGAGCTCTTAGTTCTCTTTGGCTTGCAAGGCCACGTGAGTGATATTATCAACCCCACACATAAGCTCTGCTAAAGCATAAGTCTTCTTGTGGTGGGGCCTGAACCCTCCATACGGGCCTCACATCAAAGCCTCACTAGTAAAGATGAGGGTGTCTCCTGCTTCTATGCATGTGCATGTAGAATTGCAATGTATGATTTTTTTGTCTCTACTCTTAGTTTCATCACATATTCACCTATTCATGTAACAAATATTGTAATTGTGAATGATGTGACGTTAGGAGAAACCTTAGTTAGTACTCCCTCGGTCCCATTTTATAAGATGTCTTTACTATTCACTTGATCAACACAAATCACTTTTAATCTCTTACTTTATATATCAAAATTTTATGAAATTTGAATTTTTTGCAGGTTTTGTAGCGGTTTTAATGTAGTTTTTGAATATGTAATTTTTTTCCTAAAAATAATTTGAGTGCAGACAGGGATCCGTTTGTTTTATCGTCGTTCAAACAACGTAAATCGAAAAATATCTTATAATTCGGGACGGAGGGAGTATCTCTTTTCGCGGAAACAAATGTCTAAAAATGAAAAGTTCATGTGCGTGAAGAAACATTTCTGGCGAACGAAGGGTATTTACTTGAAAATATGATGCTTTTACACATTTGTAAACATGTATGTGTGATTGGTGTGAAGAAAATCCTTTTGAAAAACATGTAAACTCTTCACATGTGTATGTGAAGAACATGTATTTACTTGAAAATATGATGCTTTTACACATTTGTAAACATGTATGTGTGATTGGTGTGAAGAAAATCCTTTTGAAAAACATGTAAACTCTTCACATACACAACTAAACATTGATCAATGCCTGAGCTGCCTAACCGCCACACTGCTAATTTGGGACGGGGGACTGACAACGACCAAGCTTGTCATGGGCCCATGGCGCATGGGAGTGCCATGGCACAAGCATTTTTCATGGTGCATATGGCACACACCATATCTCGCTATTGACAACTATAAGTCTATGACCATGACTCTAAAATCCTATGGTATGGATTGTTTTCCAACGTCTCCATCCAATTACGGAGAATAGTGTACTCAGGGCCGTCTAATGAATTTGGAGGCCCCGGTTCAAAATGTAAAAGCGGGGCCCCAAATTAATATAAAAAATTATAAAAAACTCTCAATCGAAATATATATACTCAAATCAATAGAATACTCATTAAAAGAGAACTAAAATAGTAAAAGGACCAACGAAAAAATGATGTATCTATATAATATCAATATAATTACTAATAATTTTTTAAAATATGGGGCCCCTTAAATCTGGGGCCCTGTTCTGGATAACCTATTAAACCGCCTAAAAAACGGCCCTGAGTGTACTCTGCTGCCCGTCAAGTCCCGACTCCTGATTAATTGAACACGAACAAGCTGAATAAAAATGACTGGTCTTAGAAAGTCGCGAAAAATGAGACTTCAGTTTAAGAAATCCTCACTTCTTGACTCTCTATACAGAAACATTCAATATAGAGATACCTCTATTCCTTATTCATTATTCAAATCAATCTGCCCTGAGGTGAAGGCAGGGGTGGAGATAGGGGGAGGCTGGCGGTGGCCACGACCCCTGCAAGAAAAAAATTGTGATGTATATATATGTTTAAATATTTATAAGTACTAAAAAATATAGTGAAAATTTAAGTTTTGGCCCCTGCTATATAAATTCTTTAAGCCCCGGCCCCTGTAACCTGTCAAACCTGGCCCCGCCATTGGATGAAGGGGCACTTTCTTGGAACTCCGTGCTCTAGCAATTGCGCTCCCTAGACCACGGGTACAAATACCTGTCTCTATAACATCGTGTTTTGTCACACAATTTGGATACCTGTGAGGGAGGAAAGTGGATACTAGTTTGATTTAGATTTGGAAACTAATCTTTGCCAGACTGATTGTTAGTCTTTGTACTTTGCGCATACATCTGTCTATGTCATGTGCATGCAAACGAGTAATGCGATAGACATCTTGTGTCTATGACACATGACACATTCTCTTATTTCTCTTTGAATTTTCTTCACAAAGACATCTCATGTTTGTTACTTGGCTTGAGAGACAAAAATTGCCAGAAGGATGGTGAAGCCAGTACAAAGGACATGTACTGATGAGCACCAAGCAGTCACTGTTACTTACTTTGTTAGCATCTTCCTTTTACTGTGTGGCCTCATGCAACTAGTGCATCTTTCAGTATTATTCTTCAAGAAAACAATCTACTTCAAGACACATGTATGAGTCTAACAGAAGAGTGCTATATATGCTGCTATATCCAGCAAAGCTTTTTACTTTATGTGTACTAAATATAGTTTGAAAACTTCATATATAACATCACATGACATGAGGGATAAGTAGTCATATCAGAAAAAGCTGTCTCCTAATGTTCTTGCAAAAATTCAACACCAGGCCCATGAATGTGTACTGGAAAGACAGACAGGGCATGTCATTAAGGTCCACCACCAGCTAGAAGTAGTATTATGGTTTAGCACGCACAAGATCAAGAACTTCACCATTATGCAGATTGTTATGCACACGGATCTTCCTTAATTCATGGAATGTGGCGGGAACGTAGAGTCGTTTCCGATCAGGCCCGAGAAGCTCCGGTGGCGCTTCGATTGCTGCCTCTTTTGGACCCAGGAGGAATGAAGCTATAGTGAACCGATCAGCTGCGTCCGTGTCCTTGCAGATCACCCTATGCTTTGCATTGTGAAATTTCCCATTGCTCCAAATCTTAAAATAGAAATATCAATCAAAGATCGAAGAAATAGATAAATAGCGTATAAAATACTCCGTATGAACTTATTTAATACTCCCTATTTAGATACTTCGTATATTCATAGGTAAAATCATAAAATTTTAAAAAGGATTGATTTTTTTTCTCTCTCCCTAAAATAGGCCTTATTTAATCGTACTACAAAAATATAAGAAATAATTTCTCTAAATAGAAGTGAATGAGTCACATAAAATTTCTCTAAATTTTATACTTTTAAAAAGATCAAATAAGTCATACTTTAGAAATAAAACATAACAATTCCTGTTTGTACACTTTGTCTATGTTTTACTGTCCGTTTGATAACTCTGATTTTCAGCTTATAAGTCATCCTTGTCAACTTTTACCAAACATGTCACTTTCGATTTCACGCGCTGAATTATGTAGTAATAAAAAAAATTAAGGTTGAAATTACTTTTTTGATTGAATTGACTGGAATTACTATAGAAGATCATTTTAACTATTTCTTCATTCAATTTTTTCCTTCATCTTATCAATAAATTATATAGTGAATGTAGTACGAAGTATAATTTTTCACAATTCAGCATATTGAACCATTTCAACCATGAAGTTCATAATTTTATCAATTTTATCAAATTAAATCTAATTTCGATATTACTAAATGAACTCTTAATCCTATTTGGATCCACACTAATGTACCAACTCCTAACCCCTTGCTCCGTACCTAAATGTACCTACGTTCGTACTGTACGTGTGTACTCGGGTACTACCCATAGCATGCATCATGCATTCAGGCAAGTACGTATTGAAAACATGCATTCATCGCCCCTAACTAGCGTCTTTTGGTCTTTTGGACATATCCATATAAGAGAGGTGAGGGAATATTGTATTCAATTCATATACTACATGAGTACATCCGTTCCACTTAAGCTTGAGTTTCTGTCAACTATTCTCCGGTTAATATAAATTATTCTTATGTATATTTTATTCGCTAAAAAGAATCTTATTATTGATAGAGATTAGTTGACTTTATGACCAATCAAACATCGTAAACCGATGAGAATCTTTAAAAGTACTTACAACAGCCGCATCTCCGATGATGAGTAAGACGCTCCCAGGCAAGGGATCAACGGCCACAAGTTCTCCTGATTTGGTTATGACTTGTAGTCCACCCACACAATCGTCGTCATGCAGAAGGGTAAGCACTGCGGCGTCGGTGTGGGTTGCTAGTCCGGTTGACCCCATATTCTCTGGCCTGAAATGGTACTTTATGATTCTGAGCTGGGAAGCCCATCCTTCAAACACATCTCCTTTGGTCAAACTTAGCCCTTCTCCAAATTTTCTCCCAATCTCCATAATTACTTCATGTGCAGCTTTTGTGTACTTTATCATTATGTCTCTATACATGCATTAATTAACAACGCACCATAAATAAATTAAGGAAAAAAGGTCAAATAATAAGCCCTCCTATTGTTACAAAACCATCACCTAAACCCATGTACTCTAAAAAAACAATCATTTGAGTCAAATTACCTAAAGGTTACCTTTAATAGCAAGTCACTTTTTCTTTCATTTATTTATTTATTTATTGCCTTTTTTTAATACTCCATTCCAGCCCATTTTCTCTTCCTAAAAAATGGCGTTCAAGGGGTTTCGAACCGCGAACAACGCGTGAAGCAACCCAGCAACTACCAACTCGACTGCTTTCTTGTTGAGTAAAAAAGAAACTCGAAACGGAATTATACTTTAACGCCTCACATCATCATCATCATCATCATCATCATCATCATCATCATCATCACTATTACTCTTATTGTTATTGTTATTGTTATTGTTATTGTTATTGTTATTGTTATTGTTATTGTTATTGTTATTGTTATTGCTATTGCTATTGCTATTGCTATTGCTATTGCTATTGCTATTGCTATTGCTATTGCTATTGCTATTGCTATTGCTATTGCTATTGCTATTGCTATTGCTATTGCTATTGCTATTGCTATTGCTATTGCTATTGCTATTGCTATTGCTATTGCTATTGCTATTGCTATTGCTATTGCCATTGCTATTGCTATTGCTATTCAATATAACTAAATTTGTGATTATAATAATAATTACAAGTATTTTTATTGATGTTATTATATTATACTAATTAACTACATATTATTTTGAATGATTCAAAACATCTACATTATTATTTATATTTTAATATATAAATATTATGTTCACATATTATTCAAAACATAAAACTAACGTTAATTGAAAAACAATTTATTTTTAAAGGGTAGAATATGAATATAGAGTATATTTTAGTCTTATTTTGGATAGATCAACCATTTATTCTTATTTATGCATTTTGCGAACTGATTTACTCCTATTTAACGCTATTTTACCTTTAATCTAATATATTATAAATTATATTTTATGTTTTCTTTCACTAAATATTGACTGATTATTTTAGCATTTACCAGATTGACTCATGACTCAATAATGATTACATTACTGATCCAGCTTGATCCATGACCCATCCGTTTGCTGGGTCAATAATTATTGGGGAGTCAACCCGTCCAGAAAACCGGTCAATATTTTGTGAATAAATAAATAAAAAATATAATTAATTGTATATCAGATTAAACTTATATGGTAAAAATTTACTCTCATTCAAAATTTAATAATTCTTATAAGAATAAATAAAAAAAAAGAGCTAGAACATACTCCTTCCCTATTTAAAAGTTCCATACACTTTCATTTTTGGGATGTATTTAAAAGTTCCATACACTTTTCTTTTTGTTAAGTTTTTCCTTTAAAACTACTCAATTACCCTTACTTTTTCTACTTTTTATCCTCTCTTTCCTACTTTTTCACCTTCTCTCCTACTTTTCCTATACTATTCATTATCCCTACTATTCTCTCTTAAAACTTGTGCCATAACCTTATGTATGGTTCTTTTAAATACGGAGGGATATAGTTTTTCAACAAAATTTAAAATATGTTTAGAATTGGATACACGATATGTGAAAATAATATTTATATTTTAAAATTATAAATAATAGTGATAGATGTTTTGAATCACTTACAAATACTCTGTAGTTAATTAGTACGTAGTATAATATAATAACATCAATAAAAATACTTGTAGTTATTATTATAGAGAAATCATCATGTCAGGCCGGCCTGACCGGGAGAGCCGTCCGGCCGAGCCCTTTTGGCGACCTTCCCGGTGGAATTTTTTGATGAAAATTTTTGAGCATGTTCCTCATCAAGTCTAGTTTGTCCATACTAAATTTCAGCTCAAAATTCAATCGGGAAGGCATTCAAATCGTTTTTTGAAGTTGACTGCGTTTTTATATGTATATTTTGACGCAGTCAACTTCAAAAAATGATTTGAGTGCCTTCCCGATTGAACTTTTAGCTGAAATTTGGTATGGATAAACCAGGCTTGATGAAAAACATGCTCAAAAAATTTCATCAAAAAATTCCACCGGGAAGGTGCCCAAACGGGCTCGGCCGGACGGAGGTTCCTGTCAGGCCGGCCTAACAAGAAGAGTTCTCATTATTATAATCACAAATTTAGTTATATTGAATAATAATAACAATAATAGTGTGCGGCGTTAGAGTATTACTCCCTCTGTCCCTAATCTTTCTCCCACTTCGGCTGGGCACATTTATTAAGATAGTGGGATTTGTATGGTGGAGAGTTGTGCAGAGGAGAGAGAAATGTGTAAGAATGGTTGTGAGCCACAAATTCTTTGCTAAAAGGGGAAAGAGGAGATTATTTTGGGACGAACGAAAAAGGAAGGTTCGAAGATAATTCAGGGACGGAGGGAGTAGTACATTTCGAGTTATGGTTTTACACATCAAGAAAGTAGTCAAGTTGGTATGCTGCTCTGTTGTTTCACCCCTTGTCCCTGGTTCGAATCCCCTGGAAGGCAATTGTTTCTGGATGAGAAAAATGGGCTGGAATAGTGGAATGGAGTATTAAAAAAGGGCAATAAATAAATAAATAAGTGAGAGAAAAGTGACCTGCTATTAAAGGTAACTTTTCACTCTTTCAGGCCATTTGACTGAAATGATTGTTTTTTAGAGTACATGGGTTTATGCAATGTTTTTCATATTGTATGGATTTAAGTGATAGTTTTGAAATAGTAGAAGGACCTATTTGACTCTTTTCCATAACTTAAAGATAACAGTACATAAGTAATTATAGTCACATACGTAGTATATATTATTGGATATATATTCTTTTTGTCTCTAATTGAGCTACAAATTTGACTTTTTGGGTTAAACAAACTAATTTTATTCACTTAATTAGGTATCAATCATTAATATAATTTTAATTTGAATTTTGCAACTTTATACATATTTTAATTTACTTTCTGAATATGTAATTTTTATTATTAAAATTGAATTAATTATCAACAACATTGATCGACAAAAAGATAATAACTTTGCAAAACAATTTAGGTAGTAGTTTTTGCTTTCCGTACACTATATATATATATATTGATATTGTTCTTAATTAATTTAATTACTTAAATAAGCTAGCTAGCCAAAATGGATTTGAGTAAATCCATCGCCATAAAACATAGGAATTGAAGCATTTCCTATATGTATTCTTATTTAATTACAAGTTTTACTTTTACTTTGAGCATTACTTAATTATAGGGAGTATACATTACTCTAATAACTATTAGTAATATATAAGACGTATAAAAACTCATATTCTTATATTTTATATTGAAAAAAAAATTGTGTTTGATACTCCCACCTTATTAAATGTTTGGGATATGCTTTTGCACAAAGTTGAAATGTATAATAGTAGGAGTAGTAAATATCGTAGATTAAGTGTAAAATATGAGAGAGAATGATGACAAATTCCAAAAAAAAAGATGAAAATGTAAAAAAAGTAAGAGTTCTTAATAAAAAAAACTTTACAAAAAGAGAAAATGTTGAAAATATTTTTCAATGGGTAAAAAAGGAAAATGTTGCGAATATTCGAGTACAGAGGTAGTAATATTTTTTATATCAAAATATGAATTTATTGTACTCCCTATGTCACTTAAAATTTAACAATCTTGATTTTTTTGGTATATTTGTGTACAAATATTATAAAAATGATATACTTGTGTATATATATGTTCTTATTAGAAACAGTTTCAAATAAAAAAAAACCGTTAACTTGCACACAAGTGGAAGGATATTAATCAAAATCATTGGCCAAAGTTTAACGTACTACTCCAAAGTGCTTTGTATGTACTTTGCATGTATTTATTACGAAAATAAAAAATGACAAAATTTTAATGAACGGGAATGTCTGAACAGTGAAAAAGTTGAAGACCTTGCACCGGCCTATTAAAAGAGCTAGGGAATTGAAGTTGTATAAGAAAAGGGAATTCAAATCATCTAATCAAGGAAGAAAGTTAGACCTTTGGGAAGGCGAGGCATCAAGTTGACTACAGAAGGTTTCAACATCTTGAGGAGAGGACATATCATACATCCCCATGGATTCATAAAAAGGGTTTATCACATTGAGAGGAGCATAGCCACTTATGGGAAGAATGTGCTTATTCCTCTCCTTGATCTCCTGTGGAAGATCAAACAGTGACCTCACCACTTGTTTCATTTCTGACATGAGTGAAGCTGGCAGAATGCTGTGGCAGTTCACAATTCTTGCGCAGCCCCACTCCTCACATGCCTCTATGAGCTTCTGAGATTGTACTGGAAAGTCTTCAAAGTCTATCACTGGCACCTTTGTCTCATCAATATTGCAACTACCCATTGTTTGAATTGGATTTGTACGTTTTGCTTGAATTATGAAGTTGATGATTTGATAATTAGTCGTCTTCTTTGGATGATTTATACTACAAATTTGTACTCTTAATATGGAATGAAAGTAAAGACTCAAGGCCTATTTAGTTTACTTCCATTTTTAGAAAACACTTGGATACAAGTTTTAAGTTCCCCCCACAAAACTAGAAAATAGACAACAGAAAACCAAAACATGTTTAGCAATTCAGCAATCCAGGTTTAGAGAATTAGAAAATATTTTTACTTTATCAGTTTTTAAAAAACTAAAAGTGTCTTCAAAGTGTCGTCTATGTTTTTACAGAATGTTAATACTCGAGATTTTATTGTAAAAGGACAACCTGATATATAGGAGGGGTAGCGTGAGATAATCAGAATGTCGTTCTTTAAGACCTCACGACCTGACACTTGTCTTCATTCATTTTTTCACCTCTTTGTCATAATCGTTGCCATTTACGTGAATTCAAGGAAAAATATTTGTAATTAATCATTTGAATGAGTCGATGATGTTATCACAAACTAAGTGCTATTTTAATTTGTTGCAAGAACTAGATTAGCTACATGTTTGGTTTTGTTTTGAATTAGTCATGCTAATTCGGATTTGATCCTGAAAAAGTAATTAGGTTAATAAAATAATTTGACACTTCCTTCATCCCACATAACTTCACTATCTTTGATTTTCAGAGTCAATGATATTCTATTTTGGCTAATGATATTTTTATACTACGTATATATGAAATTGATTAGTTATTTGAACCCGAATAGAGAGAAGTATGTAGTAGCAATGATTCTAAAGAGAGAAAGTAAAAAGGCAAACATAGTCATAATGAATCAACAATATCATGCTACAACCCCTAGAGAGATTTATGCAGCCGACACACCTTCCCGAGAGACGTGGACTCAAATCCAGGCGGCAACTAATTAATTCATGTAGACTTTTTCACGTAAATCACCGTGCAAGAATGCATTGTCTACATCCATTTTATGAAGTTCTCAGTGTCGTGCGGCAACAACAACTAAAATAGTTCGCACAGTGACCATTTTTGCCACGGGGGCAAAAGTGTCATTATAATCGATGCCCGCAATCTGCCGATTTGCACACACAACCAATCGAGCTTTGTACACAAAAGTGTCATTATAATCGATGCCCGCAATCCACCCATTTACAATAAGAGAAAATTGCTTCCCGTAGGACTAAAAGATAGAAAGTTTACAAAAATAGAACTTATTTATGTTTTTTCCATGCGTGTGACTTATATGGTCATGTTTTAGGAAATCATATTTTCACTTCCCATTTTTACCCTTGACTTGAGTACTCCATCCGAAGAAAAAAATACAGGGACTTCCATAACTCTCGTTTCCGTCTCTCCCGCTTCACCAGTACTAAAATCGATCTGGAAGCTTGAAATCAATCGACATGGCCTCACCAACCTGGTTTTGGCCGGATACATCGGCTAAATTCCGGTGGATCTTGGCTCTGGAGTCTACGGCTCCACCATTAATGGCCTTCGACGATTTTACAGAGGGCTAGATTACTTATTTTGCTTCATTACGGAGTTTTTGACAACCACTCGATGTAATTTCATCATTAGATATATTGAATTGTATATACATATATTGTTTCATGTGACCTGCTCTGCTATTGAGCTATTATCAGAACCTATTGTCTGTTTAATGACTACTTACTGTCTATGTACTGCTTGCTATTGAACTATTATTAGAACTTATTGTCTGTTTACTGATTCTTTGATGTCTATGTATTGTCTAGTGTTTGCAATTTTGATTTTGGATCTAGTTTCTTTAAACGTTTTGCAGAGTACTTGGTGGCCTTGTGAAAATATGAAATAGAAGTTCGAAATTGGCAAAATCAATGTCCAAAATCAGAAAAGAAGAAGAAGAAGAAGAAGAAGAAGAAGAAGAAGAAGAGGAAGAAGAAGAGGAAGAAGAAGAAGATGAGGAAGAAGAAGAAACATTTGGCGGTGGCGACCGATGAAGTCAACCGGAGCAGCTATCTAGTGCGTCGGCGACGGTGATTTCAACATCGTGAAATCAGCGGCGGTGGTAATTCGATCGATCTGAATCGATGAAGTTGTTTGAAACGAAGGGCAGGGGATGCGCAGGGGTGTCGATCGGTGAAGTTGTTTGATGCGCAGAGGATTTTAAAATGAAGGGCAAGTTCTAAAAAAACGAAGGGCAATTTTGTCAAAGCAGGTGTACTTAAGTCTTACCCTAATCTATAGTCTTAATTTTGGAAAATTAGTATGATTAGGTCCTACTTGTTGAAATATCCCTTACAATAATTGGGTCTTTTTCCGCGAGGATCCATCCTAAAAGGTTTTTCCATCATTTGCAATGGAGCCAAAGATTCATTATTTTTTGGCTTGAGAATATGATGGAATAAAGAAAAATGGCTCACTAAACTGTTTGCGCTTCTTTGTTATGAAGCGGCACAGGGGTAAGACTGCGTACATCCGACCCCCCTTACCCCTCCGGAGGTGGGAGCCTTTGCGGTACTGGGGTAAATGAAAATGATGAAAATGATGATTTCCATCCTAAAATGTCAACCTGATAGAAGGAGTAGCTCAGAGCTTAATATAGTGTTTAATTCTTTCAGAGATATCCGGTGTGGGACTTTAACACCCCTCCTCACGACCTGACATTTCGTTTGGATCATGTCGTTATTCATTTTTCATCGGTTCGTAATTATCATTTTTATAATCGTGTCATCATTTTTCATAAGGGGGCCCACACCATAGACCGATTTTGCTTTGATACCATGTTAAGACTTGAGGTTCCATTCTAAAAGGTCAACCTGATAGGAGGAGTAGCTTAGACCTTAATATAGTGTTTAGTTCTTTCAGAGATATCCGATGTGGGACTTTAACGAACCTCAAGTCTTAACAAAATAAAATCGGACCTTACCTGCCCCCTCTGAAACGGATCATTCGGTTCGATTTCTCGGTTCTTAAAAAAAATCGCTACATTAACACGATATCTAGTAGTTAATAAAATTTTCAAACTAATTATATTAAGTATCAATGTAACCATAATTTAGTAAAAATTAAAAATATAAATATAAAACAAAGTTTTGAATTAGTTAACAAAATATCTAACCACAAATGTATAAATTAAATAGCACACAACTACACAAATTAAATACGTAGTAAGACCAAACTTTGAAATGTAGAAAAATAGACATCGTCATCCATAATCTAAAAAGATATCACTACTAGGTCCTAAGAAATTAGACTAGTCACTATACATATATGTTTAATAGTTTAAACCTTAATAAATCTCAAAATGTAAGTAAAACTAAGATAATTAAATTATTATACCACACTTTATTGAGCAAGTCTTTGTTTAAAAATAAAGAAAATTTGATGCATTTGGAATAAAGAATTGAGAATAATAATTTAGAAGTTTGTATAGATTTAGAAACTCTTTTTAATAATTCATGAATATGAAAATTTTAGGGTGTTGTTAGTATATTACTCCCTCCGTCCCGAAAAGGTTCACCAACTTTGACTTTCACGTGGATTAATAAAGTAAAAACTGTGTGGTTGAAATTTGTGCAAAGGAGAGAAAATTAACTTTAGCCACATATTCCTTACTTTAAATGGAAATGACAAATCTTTTTGAGACATCCAAAAAAGGAAATTTGACAAACTTTTTCGGGACGGAGGGAGTAAATTAAATATAATAGACTTTTTAAAAAAATATATTTTAAAACAGGTCGCGGTCCGGGTACCCGTTTTTTCAAATTCTAATACCTGTATGGTTCCTAAATTTTTTAGGACCCACCTCGCCCCGCCCCGTTTGGGTTTTCCAAAATTTGGACCTGACCCTAACCCGCCCTGAACCCGTATTATCCGGCCCGTCCCGCGATTCCTGTACTCGATTGTCCACCCCTAACTTAATTAGAATAACAATTTTTAATTAAATTTACATTTGGATTTTGCAATTTGTAGATATTTTGATGTAGTTTCCTGATTAAAATTGAATTAATTATCAATAGAGAGGATTTTACTTTAACATTGGTTGATAAAAAAATGTTGACTTTTCAAAATAATTTGGGACGAAGATAGTATAATATACTCCATGAGGAGAAAGGGAGTAGTCCACAAGTCTATCAACCACATTTCTTCATTCTTGATGTCTTCTTCCTAAGCTAAGCTGAAAGACTCTCATCCTTATACTCTCTCAGTCCCAAATTGTTTTGCAAAGTCAACTTTTTTATAAAACACTTTAATTTTGTTCACTTAATTAAGATATTAATTTTTAATTATATTCAGATTTGGATTTTGAAACTTTATAGAGATTTCAATGTAGTTTTTTGAAAATGTAAATTTCAATTATTAAAGTTGAATTAATTATAGTTAGGGAGGGGCCTTTTTCCAATTTGGTAATTTGGCCTTTTTGAATGGATCCACACTTTAAGTTGTTTCCCGATGGCGACATGCATAAAAGGACAGGAAGCAGGACTCAATTGGCTGATTCCGGTCTCAAAATATGCGACCCGGGGGCCGGGCCGATTCCCCTTTACTCGCCCTCGGTCTTGGCCCGGAACTGAAAATTTTGTTCCTGTTAGCAAGCCGATCTGAGGACCGGAACCTTGTTCCTGTTAACATACAACATGCCTTAGTTTAAGGCTTGTTTGACTAGCTGATTTTGGGAGGTAGATGGATGGGAGTTGGTTTTTGTTACTAACTAATGTCTAATAATGTATTGTTAATCTGTACTTTCTTTACGGTCATCTAAATGCAAGAATTGTTTTAAAAAGAAACCACCTCTGCGCTTACAACAACAACATCCAAGCCTTATTTCCAAAAGATTTTGAGACCGGCTAATGTAAATGATAAATCAATCCATGATATCAGAGCCAAAAAGAGAAGAAAAATAAGAAATATAGAAAGATAAAGTAAGATAATATGGATAAGATAAAGATAAATATAAGATAAAATAACATAAGAACATAAGAAAAGCAAAAGATGAAAAG